TGGAGATCAGAGGATCTACTGATCCACAGATCAAATATGGCAGACCCTACATGAAAGAAGAGCCGTGGGTTGGCTTGCATGATGGTACGATGCATATCTCGATGCAATGGCGTCAAGCGAGATCAATTATGAGAAATCAGCCTTAAAAATCGCGTCAAGATAAAAACCAATCCACCAAAGAGCACGATTTAGTAAAATAGTCATGTTCATTTACGATAAAATGGTAACGTTAATTTTACTTACAAGTGAATATGAAATATCCGAATCAAGAGAGAATGTTCAAGTTAAGTTTTGTAAAAGATGATTGATGGTATCGGATAATGCAAGCACACAAGCAGTTCTTAGGGAATGTGGTCGTTACCCTCTATACATAGATTATCATGTCAAATGTATTAGGTATTGGTTCAAGCTTTTGTGTATGGACGACGGTAGGCTACTGAAATCATGCTACAAGTTACTGTTTGACTTAGATAGTAGTGGGAGGCAAACATGGGCGAGTGACATCAAACATCTTTTATATTCATATGGATTTGGAGTAGTATGGGAAAACCAAGGATGTGGAAATGTGAAACTTTTTTCAGAACAGTTAAGACAACGATTAATGGATATAAGCAGGTAGAATTGGTATTCCTTAGTACGCGAATCAGGCAAGCTGAGGACCTACAGCTCATTTGAACTAGATTTGGTATTTGAGGAATACTTATCTTTTGTGTCCATAGGAGAGCATAGAAGGGCCTACTGCAAGTTCAGAATATCAAACCACAAATTACAGGTTGAGAAGGGTCGTTATGCCTGTGCAGATGGGATGGGGAAAATAGAGTATGTACTACATGCCTTTCTGATGGCATAACAATTATTGAGAATGAGGAATACGTGTTAATGTCATGTAGTTTATATAACGGTCTGAGGGAACGCTTTATACCCGAGATTACAACATTGTCACTAGCGACTGCTCTGTCATCACATAATGTTGACTTTATAAAAAGACTTGCGGCCTTCATATATCATGCTGAGAAATTAAGAGATGTTTTTTTAGATAAGTGATTTGTGTCGTTTATGATATATATTCCTTTGTAGTCAGCTCAGTATTATCATAATAGAACTCAGTTGATGTACTCTTGGCCTGTAGGCCTGAAATACAGTGAAATAAACAACATTCTGAATTTGGACATTATGGCATGCTTTTTATACCTTGTAATAATTTAAATACGTTTTTGTTCAATGCAGGCATTTCGTCCAATCAGACAAAAAATGATATAGGTGTAAGTTGTTATACTTTTCGTAAAATCTTAAATTTACATTTAGGGCATACAAGGCACAGCCGTTTCTGCATAACCCGAGCATGTCCTGGGCATCCACGCAAACACGACAGCGGGCACGCTAAGCCATCGCACCTCGCCTTCTCGCGTATACGCTGCCAGGAGTGCGGCAGTCGAGGCAAGGGGTGTAAAAGACCTTCGCCAAGACCCGTGTGTGGGGAGAACTCCAAGTGCTGTAGAGTTAAAAGACACTCGATCTACTGCAAGAATAATATCATTGAAAAAAGTTTACCTTGCCCACATAAATGGTCCTGTGTGTGTAATGAGGGATACAGGTTGAACACCTCTGATCCAGGTTCCAAAAGTTGCGTTCCAGGTGAGAAATGGTACTTATAGACTTTATTGCAGCGGTACGGTAATTAGTATAAGTAACAAGGGGAAACAGAAGGGGTTGAAGCCGAGATACATTTTACTGGTTCTGAAGTTTGATAAAAAGTTATGTGCTTGAATCCTGGAAGAGCAAAGAACACTTTTAAGATTTTGTTTAAATGATTTCAAAATGCTGTCGTCAGGGGGTCTGTGTTCTTTTTTACTCTTTTAATTCATGCAGGTGACTAATTTTTAAAACTTTTTAACTAATAAGAAAATAGAATAATATTTGTAATTATATATGGTTTGCGTACACGTGACATGTAGTACTTGACTGGTTGGAAAACAGGTGTTTTATACCAGTCGTCACAAGTCGCAGTGGGTGGAATTTGGCATTGCTGTGTATGGTACACTGCATCTCATGTGAGAAACATTAACACAAAAACATCAATTTGGCACAATGTTCTAAAATTTAATGGGTTCGAAAATATTGCTATAAAATTAGTCACGAGTTTTGTCTTCTGTTTCATAAATTGAAGTGAGGCCCCCAGTTGTGTGTGGTAATAATACCAGATGCTGTGAGATAGTGGATAACAATACAGTGTCAAACTGTCAGAATACTACCAATGAAGAAGGTCAAAGTTTACCTTGTCCAGAACCTCTGGTCTGTGTGTGTGAAGAGGGATACATGTTCAACTCTTCTGATCCAGATCCACAAAATTGCATTCCAGGTGAGAACCCTCATTGTTGGTTAAAGGACTGCATGTTTTTACCTTTCAAGGAAGAATAAGGCATTCTTTATGATTTGTGTTTGTGGTTTCGATACTACCCTATTTAAACTTGTAAACATGTATATTTTGTGCAGATGACTTCAATATTAAACTTCATATCTTCTAGCATAATTTGTAGAAATAATATTTTTAATCATGGTTGGTAAATAAGTGACATGTGGCATTGTAATTTACCCTGGTTGGAAAATGGGTGTCGTATACCAGTTGTCACTTGCCGCAGTGGTTGGAATTTGGCAATGTTTTGTATGGCACACTGTATGTCATGTTTGAAGTACATGCAAACCCAGATACACAATGGACTTGCGCAATATTCTTAAATAAAAGAATTCATAAAATAATTTCCCTTTGTTAATAAGTTTCGTCTTCTGTTTCATANTCAAAGGTAACTTGACACGATGAAGATAGGCTATAGTGAAGAGGTTAGTGTCAAGTTATCTCTGAAGCTCAGGGTGCAGAACAATAGCTTCATTCAACAAAGGACGTATTCAGAATTGGAGATCACAGGATCTACATGTACTGATCTACAGATCAAATGTGGCAGACCGTACATGAAAGAAGAGCCGTGGGTTGGCTTGCATGATGGTACGATGCATATCTCAATGCAATGGCGTCAAGCGATATCAATTATGAGAAATCAGCCTTAAAAATCGTGCCAAGATAAAGACCAATCCACCAAAGAGCACGATTCAGTAAAATAGTCATGTTCATTTACGATAAAATGGTAACGTTAATTTTACTTACAAGTGAATTTGGACATTATGGCATGCTTTTTATACCTTGTAATAATTTAAATACGTTTTTGTTCAATGCAGGCTTTTCATCAAATTAGACAAAAAGATGATATAGGTGTAAGTTGTTATACTTTTCGTAAAATCTTGAATTTACATTTAGGGCGTACAAGGCACAGTCGTTTCTGCATAACCCGAGCATGTCCTGGGCATCAACGCAAACACGGCGGCCGGCACGTTAAGCCATCGCACCTCGCCTTCTCACGTATACGCTGCCAGGAGTGCGGTAGCCGAGGCACGGGGTGTAAAAGACATTCGCCAAGACCCGTGTGTGGGGAGAACTCCAAGTGCTGTAGGGTTAGAAGACACTCGATCTACTGCAAGAATAATATCATTGAAAAAAGTTTACCTTGCCCGCATAAATGGTCCTGTGTGTGTAATGAGGGATACAGGTTGAACACCTCTGATCCAGGTTCCAAAAGATGCGTTCCAGGTGAGAAATGGCACTCACAGACTTTATTGCAGCGGTACGGTAATTAGTATAAGTAACTAGGGGAAACAGAAGGGGTTGAAGCCGAGATACACAGTACTGGTTCTGAAGTTTGATAAAAAGTTATGTGCTTGAATATTGGAAGAGCAAAGAACTATTTTAAGATTTCGTTTTCATGATTTCAAGAAAATAAAATAATATTTGTAATTATATATGGTTTGCGTAAACGTGGCATGTAGTACTTGACTGGTTGGAAAACAGGTGTTTTATACCAGTCGTCACACGTCGCAGTGGGTGAAATTTGGCATTGCTGTGTATGGTACACTGTATCTCATGTGAGAAACATTAACACAAAAACATCAATTTGGCACAATGTTCTAAAATATAATGGGTTCTAAAATAATGCCATAAAATTATTCATGAGTTTTGACTTTTGTTTCATAAATTGAAGTGAGGCCCCCAGTTGTGTGTGGTAATAATACCAGATGCTGTGAAGTAGTGGATAACAGTACAGTGTCAAACTGCCAGAATACTACCAATGAAGAAGGTCAAAGTTTACCTTGTCCAGAACCTCTGGTCTGTGTGTGTGAAGAGGGATACATGTTCAACTCTTCTGATCCAGATCCACAAAATTGCGTTCCAGGTGAGAACTCCCATTGTTGGTTAAAGTCCTGTGTTTTTTTTTTTTTTAACCTTTTCAAGGAAGAGTAAGGCACTCTCAATGATTTGTTTTTGTTGGTTCGATACTACCCTATTTAAACTTGTAAACATGTATATGTTGTGCAGATGATTTCATTATTAATCTTTAGATCTTATAACAGAATGTCGAAATAAAAATTTTAATCATGGTTTACGTAAGGGTGGCATGTAGCTTTGTAATTTACACTGGTTGGAAAAATGTTGGATGACCATCGTCCTTGTCAAAGTGGGTGGACTTTGGCAATGTTTTATATGTCACACTGTACCTCGTCTTAGAAGCACACACACAGAAATGCAATGATCATGACATAATGTTTCAAAATGAAATCTATATAAATTCATTTCCCTGTGTTGACAAGTTTTGTCTTCTGTTTCATAAATAGAAGTGAGGCCCCCAGTTGTGTGTGGTAATAATACCAGATGCTGTGAGGTAGTGGATAACAGTACAGTGTCGAACTGTCAGAATACTACCAATGAAGAAGGTCAAAGTTTACCTTGCCTAGAACCTCGGGTCTGTGTGTGTGAAAAGGGATACATGTTCAACTCTTCTGTTCCAGATCCACAAAATTGCGTTCCAGGTGAGAACAGGCAGTTATAGATTTTATTGCATGGGTGCGGTACCACTACCACCATTAGGAAAGGGGGGGGGAGGTTGAAGTCTAGATATTGGTTTTGATGAAAAGTTACTATGCATTTCTTTTCTTTTCAAATATTGGTCCTTCCTTGAATAAATTATAATTCGACATAAAAAGTGTGCTTAAAAACCCATTTGATGTCATGTTTGTTTTTACCAATTCAACTTAGAGTAAGGAATTCTTTATGATTTTACCGTTGTGATTTTAATACCCTCGTCAGGGGCTCAGTGTTGTTATTTTAAAATCTTTCAATTCTTGTTGAAATTTGTATGTATTTTGTGCATGTGATCTTGTTTTTAAACTCTTGATCTTATAACAGTGTATCTAGGAATAATGTTTGTAATCGTATNTTGGTTTTGATAAAAAGTTACTATGCATTTCTTTTCTTTTCAAATATTGGTCCTTCCTTGAATAAATTATAATTCGACATAAAAAGTGTGCTTAAAAACCCATTTGATGTCATGTTTGTTTTTACCAATTCAACTTAGAGTAAGGAATTCTTTATGATTTTACCCTTGTGGTTTTAATACCCTCGTCAGGGGCTCAGTGTTGTTCTTTTAAAATCTTTCAATTCTTGTTGAAATTTGTATGTATTTTGTGCATGTGATCTTGTTTTTAAACTCTTGATCTTATAACAGTGTATCTAGGAATAATGTTTGTAATCGTATATGGGATTACGTTTGTGGTATGTAGCTTAGTAATTTTCACTGGTTTCAAAATGGATATCGCATACCCATCGTCACACTTCACAGTGGGTGAAATTAGGCAATGTTGTGTATGGTACACTGTATCTCATGTTAAAAGTATAAACCCACGAACACAATAAATTTGGCACAGTGATCTAAATTTTATGAGTTCTAAAATAATGTTCTAAATTAATTTCCCTGTGTTCACGTGTCTTGACTTCTGTTTCATAAATTGAAGTGAAGCCCCCAGTTGTGTGTGGTAATAATACCAGATGCTGTGAGGTAGTGGATAACAATACAGTGTCAAATTGTCAGAATACTACCAATGAAGAAGGTCAAAGTTTACCTTGTCCAGAACCTCTGGCCTGTGTGTGTGAAGAGGGATACCTGTTCAACTCTTCTGATCCTAATCCACAAAATTGCGTTCCAGGTGAGAACTCTCATTGTTGGTTAAAGGACTGCATGTTTTTACCTTTTCAAGGAAGAGTAAGGCACTCTATACGATTTGTGTTTGTTATATCTATACTACCATATTTAAACTTATAAAATGTATATTTTGTGAAGATGACTTCAATATTAAATCTTCTAGCAAAATTTGGAGAAATAATATTTTTAATCATGGCTGGTAAATAAGTGACATGTAGCATTGTAATTTACACTGTTTGAAAGATGGGTGTCACTTGCCGCAGTGGTTGGAATGCATAAAAAGCTAAACACTAAAGAAATGTTAAATTAAAGGTGGGCTTCATTTGTGCCTTGATCTAAGACAACTGCACATGCCATACAAACAAACTGGCAGCTTGGCCAATTAATTTGGTCAATTAACTTGGTCATTTAACTTGCCCATTATGCTGTTAACAATGCAAAGACACCAAAAATAATGGGCCCAGCCAGGGTGTAATAAACATGGAGTCTGGGCTCTTTATGCATGGGACTAGATTTGATCCGGGCCTTTGACATATATATATATATATATGTGTGTGTGTGTGACATGTAGCTTTGTCATTTACACTGCTTGGAAAACAGGTGTTGTATACCAGTCGTCACACATTGCAGTGCGTGGAATTTGGCATGCTGTTTATGGCACACTGTATCCCATGTTAGAAGTATAAACATACGAGCGTATAAGCATGAATTTGCCACAGTGTCCTAAAATTAATGAGTTCTAAAATAATGCTCTAAAATTATTCATGAGCTTTGTCTTTTGTTTCATAAATTGAAGTGAGGCCCCCAGTTATGTGTGGCAATAATACCAGATGCTGTGAGGTAGTGGATAACAGTACAGTGTCAAACTGCCAGAATACTACCAATGAAGAAGGTCAAAGTTTACCTTGTCCAGAACCTCTGGTCTGTGTGTGTGAAGAGGGATACATGTTCAACTCTTCTGATTCAGATCCACAAAATTGCGTGCCAGGTGAGAACTTTCATTGCTGGTTAAAGTTCTGCTTTTTTACCTTTTCAATAAGAGTGAGACACTCTTTATGCTTTGTGTTTGTGATTTCAATACTACCATATTTAAAGTTGTCAACATGTATGTATTGTGCAGATGACTTCATTATTAATCTAAAGATCTTATAACAATGTGTAGAAGTAAAATTTTAATCATTGTTTGAGTACGCGTGACATGTAGCTTTGTAATTTACACTAGTTGGAAAATGTCAGATGACCATCGCCCTTGTCAAAGTGGGTATAATTTGGCAGTGTTTTATATGACACACTGTACCCCATGTTAGAAGAATACACACAGAAATGCAATGGTCAAGACATAATGTTCCAAAATGAAATCTATATAAATTCATTTCCTTGTGTTGACAAGTCTTCACTTCTGTTTCTTAAATTGAAGTGAGGCCCCCAGTTGTGTGTGGTAATAATACCAGATGCTGTGAGATAGTGGATAACAGTACAGTGTCAAACTGCCAGAATACTACCAACGAAGAAGGTCAAAGTTTACCTTGTCCAGAACCTCTGGTCTGTGTGTGTGATGAGGGATACATGTTCAACTCTTCTGATCCAGATCCACAAAATTGCGTTCCAGGTGAGAACTCTCATTGCTGGTTAAAGTTCTGCTTTTTTCCTTTTCAAGGAAGAGTAAAGCACTCTCAGTGATTTGTGTTCATGATTTTAATACTATCGTACTTAAACTTGTACACGTGTATATTGTGCATATGACTTCACTATTAAACTTTAGATCTTATAACAATATATGGAAAAATAATATTTTAATCATGGTTTTATATACGTGACATGTAGTATTGTAATTTACACTGCTTGGAAAACAAGTGTTGTATACCAGTCATCACACATCGCAGTGGGTGGAATTTGGCAATGCTGTTTATGGCACACTGTATCCCATGTTAGAAGTATAAACATATAAGCATGAATTTGCCATAATGTCCTAAAATTAATGAGTTCTAAAATAATGTTGTAAAAGGATACACACAGAAATGCAATGATCAAGACATAATGTTCCAAAATGAAATCTATATAAATTCATTTCCTTGTGTTGACAAGTTTTGTCTTCTGTTTCATAAATTGAAGTGAGGCCCCCAGTTGTGTGTGGTAATAATACCAGATGCTGTGAGGTAGTGGATAACACTACAGTGTCGAACTGTCAGAATACTACCAATGAAGAAGGTCAAAGTTTGCCTTGCCTAGAACCTCGGGTCTGTGTGTGTGAAAAGGGATACATGTTCAACTCTTCTGTTCCAGATCCACAAAATTGCGTTCCAGGTGAGAACAGGCAGTTATAGATTTTATTGCATGGGTGCGGTACCACTACCACCATTAGGAAAGGGGGGGGGAGGTTGAAGTCTAGATATTGGTTTTGATGAAAAGTTACTATGCATTTCTTTTCTTTTCAAATATTGGTCCTTCCTTGAATAAATTATAATTCGACATAAAAAGTGTGCTTAAAAACCCATTTGATGTCATGTTTGTTTTTACCAATTCAACTTAGAGTAAGGAATTCTTTATGATTTTACCGTTGTGATTTTAATACCCTCGTCAGGGGCTCAGTGTTGTTATTTTAAAATCTTTCAATTCTTGTTGAAATTTGTATGTATTTTGTGCATGTGATCTTGTTTTTAAACTCTTGATCTTATAACAGTGTATCTAGGAATAATGTTTGTAATCGTATATGGGATTATGTTTGTGGTATATAGCTTAGTAATTTTCACTGGTTTCAAAATGGATATCGCATACCCATCGTCACACTTCACAGTGGGTGAAATTAGGCAATGTTGTGTATGGTACACTGTATCTCATGTTAAAAGTATAAACCCACGAACACAATAAATTTGGCACAGTGATCTAAATTTTATGAGTTCTAAAATAATGTTCTAAATTAATTTCCCTGTGTTCACGTGTCTTGACTTCTGTTTCATAAATTGAAGTGAAGCCCCCAGTTGTGTGTGGTAATAATACCAGATGCTGTGAGGTAGTGGATAACAGTACTGTGTCAAACTGCCAGAATACTACCAACGAAGAAGGTCAAAGTTTACCTTGTCCAGAACCTCTGGTCTGTGTGTGTGATGAGGGATACATGTTCAACTCTTCTGATCCAGATCCACAAAATTGCGTTCCAGGTGAGAACTCTCATTGTTGGTTAAAGGACTGCATGTTTTTACCTTTTCAAGGAAGAGTAAGGCACTCTATACGATTTGTGTTTGTTATATCTATACTACCATATTTAAACTTATAAAATGTATATTTTGTGAAGATGACTTCAATATTAAACTTTATATCTTCTAGCAAAATTTGGAGAAATAATATTTTTAATCATGGCTGGTAAATAAGTGACATGTAGCATTGTAATTTACGCTGTTTGAAAGATGGGTGTCGTATACCAGTTGTCACTTGCCGCAGTGGTTGGAATGCATAAAAAGCTAAACACTAAAGAAATGTTAAATTAAAGGTGGGCTTCATTTGTGCCTTGATCTAAGACAACTGCACATGCCATACAAACAAACTGGCAGCTTGGCCAATTAATTTGGTCAATTAACTTGGTCATTTAACTTGCCCATTATGCTGTTAACAATGCAAAGACACCAAAAATAATGGGCCCAGCCAGGGTGTAATAAACATGGAGTCTGGGCTCTTTATGCATGGGGCTAGATTTGATCCGGGCCTTTGACATATATATATATATATATATATGTGTGTGTGACATGTAGCTTTGTCATTTACACTGCTTGGAAAACAGGTGTTGTATACCAGTCGTCACACATTGCAGTACGTGGAATTTGGCAATGCTGTTTATGGCACACTGTATCCCATGTTAGAAGTATAAACATACGAGCGTATAAGCATGAATTTGCCACAGTGTCCTAAAATTAATGAGTTCTAAAATAATGTTCTAAAATTATTCATGAGCTTTGTCTTTTGTTTCATAAATTGAAGTGAGGCCCCCAGTTGTGTGTGGTAATAATACCAGATGCTGTGAGGTAGTGGATAACAGTACAGTGTCAAACTGCCAGAATACTACCAATGAAGAAGGTCAAAGTTTACCTTGTCCAGAACCTCTGGTCTGTGTGTGTAAAGAGGGATACATGTTCAACTCTTCTGATCCAAATCCACAAAATTGCGTGCCAGGTGAGAACTTTCATTGCTGGTTAAAGTTCTGCTTTTTTACCTTTTCAATAAGAGTGAGACACTCTTTATGCTTTGTGTTTGTGATTTCAATACTACCATATTTAAAGTTGTCAACATGTATGTATTGTGCAGATGACTTCATTATTAATCTAAAGATCTTATAACAATGTGTAGAAGTAAAATTTTAATCATTGTTTGAGTACGCGTGACATGTAGCTTTGTAATTTACACTAGTTGGAAAATGTCAGATGACCATCGCCCTTGTCAAAGTGGGTATAATTTGGCAGTGTTTTATATGACACACTGTACCCCATGTTAGAAGGATACACACAGAAATGCGATGGTCAAGACATAATGTTCCAAAATGAAATCTATATAAATTCATTTCCTTGTGTTGACAAGTCTTCACTTCTGTTTCTTAAATTGAAGTGAGGCCCCCAGTTGTGTGTGGTAATAATACCAGATGCTGTGAAGTAGTGGATAACAGTACAGTGTCAAACTGTCAGAATACTACCAATGAAGAAGGTCAAAGTTTACCTTGTCCAGAACCTCTGGTCTGTGTGTGTGAAGAGGGATACATGTTCAACTCTTCTGTTCCAGATCCACAAAATTGCGTTCCAGGTGAGAACTCTCATTGCTGGTTAAAGTTTTGCTTTTTTCCTTTTCAAGTTAAGGAAGAGTAAAGCACTCTCAGTGATTTGTGTTCATGATTTTAATACTATCGTACTTAAACTTGTACACGTGTATATTGTGCATATGACTTCACTATTAAACTTTAGATCTTATAACAATATATGGAAAAATAATATTTTAATCATGGTTTTATATATGCACGACATGTAGCATTGTAATTTACACTGGTTGGAAAACAAGTGTTGTATACCAGTCGTCACACATCGCAGTGGGTGGAATTTGGCAATGCTGTTTATGGCACACTGTATCCCATGTTAGAAGTATAAATATATAAGCATGAATTTGCCATAATGTCCTAAAATTAATGAGTTCTAAAATAATGTTGTAAAAGGATACACACAGAAATGCAATGATCAAGACATAATGTTCCAAAATGAAATCTATATAAATTCATTTCCTTGTGTTGACAAGTTTTGTCTTCTGTTTCATGAATTGAAGTGAGGCCCCCAGTTGTGTGTGGTAATAATACCAGATGCTGTGAGGTAGTGGATAACACTACAGTGTCGAACTGTCAGAATACTACCAATGAAGAAGGTCAAAGTTTGCCTTGCCTAGAACCTCGGGTCTGTGTGTGTGAAAAGGGATACATGTTCAACTCTTCTGTTCCAGATCCACAAAATTGCGTTCCAGGTGAGTTCTGTTATTATTGGTTAAAGTTTTGCTTTTTACCTTTTCAAGGAAGAGTAAGGCACTCTATATGATTTGTTTTTGTGATTTTGATACTACCATATTTAAATCTGTAATTAAACATGTATATATTGTGCAGATGACTTCATCGTTAAACTTTAGATCTCATAACAGTATATGTAGAAATAATATTTTTAATCATGGTTTGCGTACACGAGACATATAACTTAAAAGTGGGTATCGTGTACCCGCATCGTCATACGTCACATTAGGTGGAATTTGGCCATGTTTTTTTGGCCCACTGTCTTTGCTGGTTTAAGTTCTGCTTTTTTACCTCTTCAAGGAAGAGTAAGGCACTCTTTATGCTTTGTGTTTGTGATTTCGATACAACCATATTTAAACTTGTAAACTTGTTAATAAACTGATAGCAGGAGCATATCATTCCACAGTCATTTATCTCCCCCAAAGTATTGGTGTACATTGTGCATATGACTTCATTATTAAACGTAAGATCTTATGCAGCATTTAAAGTTACAGTGGTTGAAAAACGTGTATCGTATACCCACAGTCAATTGTCACGTTGACTGGAATTTGGCAATGTTTTGTATGGCGCACTGTCTTTCATGTTACACACTGTAGAAGGATGCACACCGAAGCACAATAATCCTGGCATCATGTTCTGAATTGGAATCTATATAAAATAATTTCCCTGTGTTGATAAGTTTTGTCTTCTGTTTCATAAATTGAAGTGAGGCCCTCAGTTGTGTGTGGTAATAATACCAGATGCTGTGAGGTAGTGGATAACAGTACAGTGTCAAACTGTCAGAATACTACCAATGAAGAAGGTCAAAGTTTACCTTGTCCAGAACCTCTGGTATGTGTGTGTGATGAGGGATTCATGTTCAACACTT